TTTTTTTTACAGCGTAAGATTCGAAGCCCGTCGGGTGCACGCTTAATGCTTTGATACGATACGTGCCGTAGAAAATACCTGGGCAGCACAATCGCCCAGTACAGTAGAAAGCACTATGATAACACTGTCTTGGTTCCCAGCGGCCGAAGGGCCCTCCTCCTGCGTTGCCAGTTGTCACTAATGCCCTCCTTCTCCTTTGCAGTGGACCATGCCCCCGTGCTGATCGGTCGGCGGCTGGCATGACTCGGGGCCCCCCCGCCCCTGCCCAGCAGCCTGCTGCCCTCCCAACATGGAGACCGTCAGCGTGTCCCTCCCCCCTCCGCTGCCACCGAAGACGAGAAAGAAGCCTTGCGGCGGACAACAACTTAGGCCCTTCCAGGAAAGCGGACGCGGGCCGGACAGCGTCCAGTGCCGCTACACGGACGCGGCGCCGGTAGCCGCGGTGGCCGCGCCGCACTCGGGCGCCGGCGCCGACCGGGTTCACGTCGTGAGTATCCGCATTCGGCCGGAGGAGAGCATCTGCAGTAGCAGCAGCAACAGCAGCGCGGCAAGCGCCGGCGCCGACGGCTGCGTCCGCATCAGCGTGGGCGGCACGACGCCGTCGCCGCCGCCGCCCTCCACCGCCGTCATGGTGGCGAGGACCTCGACGACGGCCGTGTCGCCGTCGCCGCCCGACGCCGCTGCCTTCCTGTTCTACAACGGTGTGGCCATGACGACGAGCGGCCAGGCTTCGCCCGTCGACAGCGGCACCTGCAGCGACGACGCCGCCGACGCCGCCACGCCGCCGCCGCTGCCGCGCAAGACGTCCACCTCGCGGCTGGGCGTGCGCGTGACGGTGAACAGCGCCGGCCCCGAGGACCGCTTCCACAGCGACCCGGAGGACGAGCGCTGCTCCAGCACCATGAGCTGCGACTCGCTCAACAGCCTGGACAAGGTGGCCTGCTTCCTCGACGACCACCGTAACCACCACCTCCGGGCGGTGCCGGATGTCTCCAAGCTGTCACTGTCGCCCGCGACCTCACCGGCCGAGACGCTGACGCCGCCGTCGACGGACACGTCCCTGGACAGCGCCGCCGAGGTGGTGGCCGTGCGCCGGAAGCCCGCCGTCGACGAGCAGACCTACGAGGACCGACGCGGGTGCGGCAGCAGCAGCAGCAGCGGCGTCGCCACGCCCCCGGACCACTACTACGACTTCCACCTCAACGAGCGCGACGCGGTGGAGGCGGGCGAAGAGGAGGACACGTTCGCCGGCTGCAGGGACTACACCCTGGACGAGCCCGTCACCGTGCCCGCCACCATCAAGAGCTCCAAGGGCACGGTGCGCGGCGTGCGCAACCGCGTGCGCGCCGGCGTCGCCACCTTCCTCAGCATCCAGCACAACCGGGTGAGTAGCATCCATTCCAGTAAGCCAGCAGTGGCCCTGCGCGCCTGCGGGTAGGCAACACTGACGCTCGCGAGCAGGCAGGGCCAGCGGGTTGCCTACCCTCCAATTGGCAGGCGCCATGGACGGGGGAAAATTCCCAATAATACGCCGCCCACATGAGAAAAAAGAACTTGGGAAAATAAATCTCCTTCTCCAGTAGATGAAGTCGTCACGAGCGAGCCATATCATCACCGAGACTCGGGCCGTTGCCCGTCGGTATCGCTCGCGCTCGGTGGCCCCTCGGGGTCTCCGGCGGCGTGGTGGGGCCGCGGGGGAGTAGTACGCGGTCATTGT